CAGCTGTCTCTTCCTATTCCCCATTTATCTCTACCTCCCCCACCAGCTATCTATCCCCAAGCATCCTCACATTTCTCCCTATTCTGCTTATCTCTCTCCCTGCCCACCAGCTATCTATCCCACACCCCTCCCAGCTGTCTCTCCTATCCCCATTTTACATCTCTCTACCTCCCCACCAGCTATCTATCCCACCATCCCTCACCCCCGTTTCTTCCTATTCCCCCACTTATCTCTCCCTGCCCACCAGCTATCTATCCCACACCCCTCCCCAGCTGTCTCTCCCTATCGCCCCATTTATCTTTCCCTGCCCACCAGCTATCTCCCCAGCTGTCTCTTCCTATTCCCCATTTATCTCTACCTCCCCACCAGCTATCTATCCCACCATCCCTCCCCCCTTCTCTCCCTATTCCCCCACTTATCTCTCCCTGCCCACCAGCTATCTATCCCACACCCCTCCCCAACTTTCTCTACTTTTCCCCCTTGAAGTATGTAATTTTGTCTTAGCATAGTACCTGCAGTGTGACTGAGCTATCATTGCTTAGTGCAGATTTCCTCCTCAGCCCAAATTCCACACTACTGACAGCAGTACTGTCAGTGGAGAGGGCATGGACATAACATCATATCAATTACCCGCCACTCTTTCACTATACAACCAGCAGTCACAGGGGGTGACTATTAGCCAGTTCAGCCATACTACATGTAATCACATGGACATACAGCATAAAGCCTATTGCTGCCCTAGGTAGTGCAACAGCGCCCTCTCCTTGTGGGCCCCGTGTGTGACTGCACAGGTCTCACACTCCTAGTTCACTCTGGCTGCAGCCCAGGAGTGGGACTTTCATAAAACTCAGGCAGCCTGGTATTTGTAAGTCTCAGTCTTAATTAACAAGATCTCATCATACTATGAATTGTGTTTTCTGTTGCACAGTGTGCAATAAAAGTCACACTGTGCATTATGGAGTTTGAAAACAAACTTAAAGTAAACTAATGTTTAAATAGTTACAAACATAGCCAAATATACACCCAATAATAATATACTCACATGCTTATGCATATTTATTTGTTTAAATTTTAAATATTTTCTCTCGTCCTCTGACTGCAGGCTTTTTTTGTTCCAAACTCTTAATATTTAGAACCATTCTGACAGATGTGAATGTTTGTGCTTAAATTCATCTATTTTGCGCTTTTGGATTGGGGAAAAAATCCAGAAGGTTGATTGTATCAAAAAATTGTTAGTGCAATAAAAAAAAATCAATTAGAGAATACTAATGTGCATCTTTGGTTAAATAGACAATACTTCAGGCACAACAAATGACACTTGCTTCATTTTTTGCCCTTTGGACTTTTGTATGTAAAATGCTGACCTAGTTACTATAAGAATTTATTGCTTGCGTGAATAGCCATTTACAAGCCTAAAAGGCAGTAATTACGTTGGTATAACCCTCTAACAGTGTAGTAAACTGAATGAATTACACAGTAATGACTTGGCATTAGCACAGACAGGAATCAAAAAGTCATGTTTTACCATTAATGCTATTGTTCCATATTAGAAACTCGCAGAGTAAACTAGAAGCTGGGAGAAGTGTCTGTGTTACAAGCTTTGTAGGTAGCACTTCGTGTGTAGAGATAAATCCAAACTGGAAAGTTCAGTTACAACTATAAATGGATATAAACAGTTCTGGAGCAATTCTCTGGATATTTTATGTCACCTTGAATATAGAAACTCTGTTCGTGTTGGAGACGTCAAATATTATAACTTTAAAAGATAGTAATACTTTTGTGAATATAAAATTGAAAAGCTTTAAATTATGATGAAAGGAATTTTGTATGCTCGAAAAAAACAACTATGATTTCTGTGTCTACATATTTCATGACTAAATTGGGCAAATCTAACAGCCAGAGTTATTGATACAAAAAGTGTGTCTTCATTTTATTTTATAACATCGTAGTATTTGGAATTTTTGTAGATCTTTAAGGGTGCATTCTTTTTTATAATTCTTTATTTTGGGGTACAAAAAAAAAATAACATACAGGCTGGTAGTGAAACGACAGCATCTACAAGTTTAATGTGGTCAAACATGTGAATACAATGCCATGACATATGAGACAATTGCACTTTTTTTTAGATTCAAAGAAACAGGTTGCACTAGAGGTTGTAATGTAAGACTTGAGAAAATACAAGCTAGAGAAACAATGTTAGTAGAAGATTAGGTGAGTTACTGTGTTAGAGTGTGAAGAGTTGGAGTATGCAAGGGTTTGGGGCATGTTACTTATAGCATAGCAACAGATGGGGAGTAGTTAGGAAGGGCACAGTGTCCATCTATTTGGGCATAGAACGAGGAGGGACACAAGGTATTCATCCGATACCCAAGCTGGGTAGGCATGTCCCGCGTTTGTGCAGTCCATTGGGATGAGTAGTATTACGGTGTCTTAGCTGAAGAGTCAAAAATGGGTCGCAAGAGAATACTGAGAACGGGCAGCAGCTGAAATAGCCTGCCCTTCGGTCAATCCCCGCTCAGTTCTCAAGCTGATTTTTGCTCATCTTGTGCCATTACAGAGAGAACATATCTGAAGCATATCAGACTGGTCCCACCCATACGGGCAGTCCAGATCCGAAATGCCAGCAAGTTCTCTCTGCACGAGAGATACAGCAACCCCAGACGATCGTTTCAGCCTTGTTAGGCATCATCAGTGAGGCATAGCTGATATCTCCCTAGGCACCGTGAGCAAGGGGTCCACGTCTGGATTATCCCTTTAAACTTGTGGAGAGTCAAAAATGGGTCGCAAGAGAATACTGAGGACGGGCAGCAGCTGAAATAGCCTGCCCTTCGGTCGGTCCCCGCTCAGTTCTCAAGCTGATTTTTGCTCATCTTGTGCCATTACAGAGAGAACATATCTGAAGCATATCAGACTGGTCCCACCCATACGGGCAGTCCAGATCCGAAATGCCAGCAAGTTCTCTCTGCACGAGAGATACAGCAACCCCAGACGATCGTTTCAGCCTTGTTAGGCATCATCAGTGAGGCATAGCTGATGTGGACCCCGTCTGGATTATCCCTTTAAACTTGTGGAGAGTCAAAAATGGGTCGCAAAAGAATACCGAGAACGGGCAGCAGCTGAAATAGCCTGCCCTTCGGTCAGTCCCCGCTCAGTTCTCAAGCTGATTTTTGCTCATCTTGTGCCATTACAGAGAGAACATATCTGAAGCATATCAGACTGGTCCCACCCATACGGGCAGTCCAGAGTTTCTTCCCAGCTCCAGACCGGTGGATTAGCAATCCCTGCTTTGGTCCCTGCTCGGGGAGCTCCAGATGTCATAATCTTCCCATCCAGGAGGAATCCTGGAGGTTGGGGAATCTTGGGGGATCGACGTCTGTAATAACGTGCTGTCCGCCTGTTGCGCGGCTTTTGGTTGGTCTCTGAAACAATCGCACTGAGGGAGCACTTGGAATGGTAGGGACAGCTGCTTGTTTAGTAGTGAGGTGTGCAAGGAGTCCCACAGGCCACCCCTCTCGGTGCTGGGTCACCCTCATCCTCTCCTCCAGTGTAGCCCAGAAGCGGGGAAATATTGCCTCCAGATTAAGATGTGGTAGGAGCGGTCAGTCGAGTATTCACAGCATAGTGCCGGGCCTCTTGTTGCTGGTGCCTCTGCATCCACCATCTTGGATACTATCCCCGTCTCTGTCCCCAGCAGGCCGCAGCAAGTTTTCTCCGGTTCCTGGTCATGTGAATGCTCGGGAAGTGTGTCATATAGCTTGCCCAGGAGTCCCTGACCTGAGATGGGCACAGGATGGTGCGTAGTAGTGCAAGATTGGTTAAATCAACCCAAGATTCAGCCAGATATGCAGGAGCTCAGGCACCACACATCCAGACAGCTTGAAGGTAAGGCTCTGCCCCCGTAAGGGTGCAGTCTTAATGGGTCCTCAGTCCAAATTCCACACTACACTAATGCATTTGAAGAATAAGTTTAGTGACTATACCCCAGACATATTTGGAAGCTATAAAACCAAACATACATTAAATATGATATTAGTTTGTTTTTTAAAAACAAAAATGAAACAACTACTGGCATATTTTTTACAAATTCTGTGAAAAAAAAATACAAAAATGTTGTGCTGTAAGGGTTCCTGTGCTGCATGCAAGAGATTTGTTTCACAGAAGATGTTGCTAGCATGGGGTAATGCTTTATACCAGCTGTTAGGAATGCTGGTATTTCAGGAACCTGTTCGTTTTCGGTTCCTCCTGAACTGCTAAAGGCTGAGTGATTATAGCTCACTGTTCGTAAATTGATTTGAACGTTCTCCAGAAGAAACTGCAGTATCCAAGTAAATTCCCCAAGCAATCAGACGTATACCCAAACATCAGCCTAGACTAGATAAATTTATTCAGGCCAACTGGCCGGTTTATATGCAAGTCCCCATGCAAGGGGTTTACCGTGACATATTCCAGGGGCATGCCCCACTGGACCTGAGAGGGGACTATGGCAAAGTACACACTGTAAGTACATTGGCTCTCAGGTCCAGGGCACTCCCACACAAAAAAGGATAATCCCTCCCTAGTGCCTGTGAGATAATTGAGTCAAGAATTGTACTAGACACAATTATCTCCAGGCACAGAAAACATATATCTTAACACCCCGAAAGTACCCCCAAAACACATGGAAACCCCACAAAAGTCACATCCCCTAATAGCCCCAATCTGTGGGACCAACATATCCAAAAATCACCCAGATCGGTTCAGGGGTTCGGGATTTCCATGGAAGTCATAATTTCTGGAGTACAAAAGTACATAAATCACATGAATGGAGCCTTTTAAAGTATATTAGCCAAGGTCTATTGCAGGGGACATAGTCCTGAGGCAAGAGGCTGGCTAGCATGCCCCTCCAAGAACCTGTGACAAGGTTCAGTTCATCACACCAGCATTAGCTGTCAAATAGCAGTGCTGGTAATACATCACAGCTCTGGACAGGGAGATAAGAATTATGCCCCAAACCACCTGCCCTAACCACACCGGGCATGTGACTCACTTGACATATCCCCTGCTAAGTTGGCAGTCGGTGGTGAACTTCTCATTGCAGATCTTGTGGGTGCTGCTTGAACTGTAGCCCTTCTCCAGGTTGAAGTAGCAGCTGACATAATTCCATGCCTGGATGTGAATGCATGGATGTCGGCATAATCATCAGCAAGTTCTGCGGCATCCCTAGCGTTTTTTGGCTTTCTTTCCAAAATCAACTCTCGTACATTAGGGCTCCGGGTCTGTAAGAACTGCTCCAGGACCGTTAAGTCATTAAGAGCTTCATCGGTAGTAGCTTGTACTCCGGTAACCCATTGCCGGTACGTGGTTTCCAGTTGTGCTGGATCATGGGCATTGCTGCATTCTCCTAAACTGTTTTCTGTAAGACTCAGGGGTAAGGTTAAAAATTTTTTGTAAGGCATGCTATTGCTGCCTGCATATTTTTTCAAAACTTTTTAGGAATACATCCAAATCAGTCCCCTCTTCCAGGAAGGGAAAATCATCCTTGCGGAGCCTACGTGTGCCAGAATCTGATGCATTGCTGTTCAGTGAGGACTGAAGGGTAAACCGCAGTTTGGCAATTTCCAGCTCATGTCTCCTTTGTGCCTCCCTTTTTGCAGATTCTCTTTCTGCAGCCTGCTGTTGGATCATCATGTGCAGGGCATCCTGAGGATTTTTCAGCCATCAGTTGCTGAAATAAATCCATTGAGCAAATGTCTTTAATGTTTTGAGGGGTACAACCACTAGGCATTCCAGTAAGCAGCGCTCCTGCAGTAGTAGGGAGCTCAGTAACCCTTTCAGTGTCAGTCTCTGGCTGGAAAGCATGGCTGTCAGCCTCCACAAGTTCAGCAATAGGTTGCGCCTTATTTTTGCCGAAAGTTGGTAAATCCCTTTCTTGGCACAACAATTACAAGGCCTCATTGGGTTGTTTGCGATAGGCCTCCATTTTCACAAATGGGATAGAGAAAGAAAAACAGGAGATGGGTTTACAGATGCAGAATGTATGACATCTTTTCAGGTAGTGTGTATGTAAGCTATGTGATTGACAGACATGGGAGGTGTGACTAGGGCTGCATAAACAAAGTGATTTAACTCCTAAGTGGCAGAGAATTGGGCTGTAACCAGAACCAGAACCATTTCAGTGGCTTTCGCAAATAGACTGAACCTCTCAGTTCTACGTGACTAAATTTATAATGTTCAATATTTGCCCTAATTAAGAATGCTAGGAGTATTTTGTAACCATATCCTTGATAATTTAAGTTGGGTAATTAAGCCATACATGGATTATTCAAGCCACACAGAGATATGTATATTAATGTCGGCTGTTGAAGACAATATAATTGAATTATCTAAGATTTTTTTAAATCACATATAGGTATAAGCAACTGGTGTCCTAGGTATTAAAGTCAGGACAGAATGTCCCGTATATATTGTTTGCAGGGAAGGTAGTGCTGGCTTATGACATCTACTCTTATCTTTTAAAACAGACATTGATTGAGGCAGTTAATACAAAACTCCAGTTCTTAATAGTTTAGCTTTCTGCAGTAAATGGAAGCCCTGTAAAACACTTGATTAAACATACATGAGTCATAACTGGGCAGTTGTGAGTAAATAATCTCAAGTAATGTCTAGCTCAGTGGTTCTTAACCCCTGGGCCCCCATGCTATTTTCAGTGGGTTCCCACTGGTTAGAACAGGCACAGAGTATTGGTCAGGCCCCAGGCAACTGCCCACAATAATCTGTTTAATGCACCAGCACTGCCCGCTCCAGTGCCAGGGAAGCCAATTTTACTCTGTGAGGAGTCTGGCAAAGGTGTTTATTTTAGTATAATATCAATTGAAGAATGAATCACTGAGCTAATTTTACTGTTGAAGAATAGGTTGCTATGTTAATGCCATCTGCATCATTTGGAACCCTATCAAAAAAAGGGTAAGAATCACTGGTTTATTTCCATCATGCATTTGTTCCTATGCATTATTTTATTTTCCTTTGAAATTATTTTGACCTTTTAAATTCTGGTATGTGCGTGTGTATTTTCATTGTGGGACTCTTTAGAGATATCCTAATTGGAAATTACAACCCTAATTATGCTGAAATTAAAGTTCAAGCGGAGTGGGCGAATTTTTTAAAAGGGAACAGTTACTTGGGCATTCAGATTTGAACAAATGCAAACTCATCTAGATTTTGAGCCATTCATTCATTCCTCCTTATTTTGAATAATCATATGCCTGAATTACAAGAACAAAGTACATGATGAATGCAATGTATCCTTACAATTATTTGCTTGTTTCTTCTGGTATTTGATTATATTGAGGAAGATTCCCTCTTATCCTCTATAACATAGCTTTCCAAACTTTTCATGTTGGTGACACCCTTTTCAGACATTCATCATTTCGCGACACTACGATGGTGGTGACAGTGTTCTATTTCGTGGACATGTCACTACAGTTGCGGCCGCATCACCAGAAGTTATGCGGAATCAACTGTTTCAACCCGATTCCGCATGTTGTGCATGTGCAGCATACATGTATGATCCCTCGACTGTCTCTCTAAAACTGTGGCCCCTATTCACAATATAGTAATAGAACATACCCAGCCTAAGTTGGTTCTTCTCACCTTATTTATTGCTGTGACTGGCAAGCTGCTGTGGCAGACTGGTGTGGCTGACTGGCCTCTTTCTTTCCCCATCCTTTTTCCTGCTTTAATTTCTCCCCCAACCCCTTTGTGTGTTTCTTTTCCCTTTCCCCTCTGCGTATCTTTTTTATTTTTTTTTATTGTGCAGGTAGGTACATGACTTTTCATACGCCACAACAGCGTTCACTTAGATATACATACAGACTCATTCGTGGCATTAGTACGTGCACTTTACAACAGGCTTGACAATGGTTAACGGTTACTACATTGTAATTTAGCATGCAAGTGAGTTAGGATTGAGTTGCTATATACTACCGCAGTATATTTAAAGCTTTAACATACACGTCTGGGTGAAAACATGACAGAGGAATCATCTATAGGAAACGGCAGACATGAGAGTGTTAATAAAGTAGAGTAGGTAGGCAAGTAACTAGTCAGACATTACTAAGTGGTTAATATCTGCTTAAATAAAACATGGTGTGTAACTATTCTAGTGTGCCTTCGAGTCGGGTGAAGTATTTACAGTGTTAAGACAAAGCATGCATACATTCCTATGGTTACTTAACTGATTATAGTGAGATGAGCCATGTTAGGTGTAACTGTGTTTGCCCTAGGTTCAGTGTCCATGGCAGCTGTGTGAGTCCTTCACCTTATAAGTCCCCATATCACCCCACAAGTATGCTCTGTGAGGGTGGCACATGAGCGGGGCCCAGGTCCCGGTTGTGTAGGTTCGCTGTGCTTGTGCCGATTAGATGATGGTAAGTCTGCCAGTGTCCTCTGGAGCTTTCCACAACTTTTTTGGACTGCGGGCTGGGTGCGTCGCGTAGCTGCTGGGCCGGAGGCTCTTTACGGTGAATAGAGGGAGGGTGCATTTGTGCTTTGAGTGTCAGCCTTGGTCCCTGTGGGAGCAGGCAACTTTGGGTAGTTCAGAGTTTCCCCTCCTCCACCTCAGGTGGTAAGTATCTCGTGGAAGCCCTGGATTGTCTTCTTGTCATTGGTTATAGTTGATGTCGGGTTAGCAGGAGCCGTCAGGCTGCTCTGGATTCTACCAGCCATCCATTCCACACATGGTCTACACCATCTTAGGAGTGGGCCCTGGATCTGTGTAATGGCGTGGTGTCGTTGCCGGGTCTTAGCTGGCACGTTTTGAGTGTGGTTATGGGGCGAGGACTGGGATCACCCACCTTCCCACGCCCGGTCCAGAGGGGGGGGAACAGGGCCGGGTCCGCGGAGATTCAGAGTGCCATTCAGGCTCCGTCAGGCAGGATAGTGGGGCGGCGGCCGTCCACCCCACTCACCGCCGGCTAAGTTCCCGCTCAGAGTCACGGAGATCTTGCCTCCGAGGGGCTAAAACTCCAAGAGTAAGCCTCTCCCCGGATCCGGTAACCTTTGTGCTTCGTGGGTTGCAGTGTTATGTAGTTGGATTCGCTGAAAAGCCTAAGTTAGCGGCTTAATAGGTTGTAGTTTGCAGGAGCCGAGCTCTCCTGCGACCGTCCATCCTGGCGGTCCGGCCCCGCCCCCTCTGCGTATCTTTTTTAATGCTTCCCCTGTGTGTGTGTGTATCTTCCCCCCATCCCTTCTGTGTGTCTTTGTGCCCATTCAGCCATTCTGTGTGTCTTTTCCCCCAGCCCCTCTGTGTTTCTGTGTGTGCCCCCACCTCTCCTGTGCCCTTTTTTTGCCCCACTCCCCACTTGTGCTCTTTTTCTGTCCCCCATCCCCTCTTGTGCCCTTCTTCAGTCTCCTTCCCCTCATCTGTCTTCTTCCGGCCCATTCCCTTCCTGTGCCATTCTACAGTCCCCAATCCTGTGACCCTCTTCTAACCCCCCAACCTTCTTTTGTCCCCTCTCCCCTTCGGTGCATTTCTTCTGTCCCCCCTTCCCTCCTGTGCCCTTTTTTGTCCCCCTCCTGTCTTTGTCTTATCCCCTCTTATCCACAGGAAGCAGTTCTGTGCTCTCAGTGAGCACTTCCTGTCAGACCTGGTAGGGAAAACAAAAGCTCCTCTACCACAGTCCACCTTCTTGGCCACGCTACATGGAGTGACCAGCATGAGTGGAGCACTGTGCAATGCTCTCCTCTTCCTACTGGACATCTATGCGTGACACACTTAAACTGTGTAGCAGACACACTAATGTGTCACCCCACACACTTTGGAAAGCTGTGCTCTATAACCTGAATGGGTGGGTTTCCACTTTCCCATAGTCCCCTCACCAACAGGCTTTGGAAGAGTTACATATTGTAGAACGTAGGCTGTATGGATGGAGGACCAGGAGGTAAATATAAGGGGACCTGCCCAAATGTTATAGTGGGAATATGATTATTTTTGCTGCTTGCACACTCGCTATCCCTGTCTGTTTGGGCTGCCCAGTAGAGGGGATATGAGAATAGACTATTTGCAAGGTACCTGTGCTTAAAACAGGGTCTTCCAAATATCATTAACAAACCAAACATCCCTAAATCCTAAAACAGAAACTGAATATATCTTTATTGATTAGTGAGCATTCGAACCAATGTTGGATTACTTTTTTCCAGGACTGTTTACAGTTTGTGCAATAGTAAAAAGAAAGCCAGACATTTATGTTTTTATTACTGAGAAAGTGCCTTTCCGGATTTTAAAAAAAAAAATATAATTTTCAACCAATATTTTAAATACACAATAGCTATTAGAAAATTGCTTAAGGAAAGTCCTAAATATCCACAAGGGCAATTATTAAGACATGGGCCAAATGGGTCATCTGTGTAATTGTGATATACTTGATGGTTATTCTAATTTCTAGAAAATACTCATTCCCTTCATTCCTTCCCTCCAATGTTAATTGTTTCTATTTTTCCTACTAGTTACTTGTGTTCCAACTTTAGAATATTATGGTAGAACCTCATGTTGCTAAGATGGTACCTTACTGGCACTGCTGACTGGTTTATATGGGTTGTCAGTAGTGATAAACTACATTGCAATTGGAATGTGCATCATCTGTGTTCATCTACAAGTGAACCATGTACTTGCCCCTCTATTTGAGAAACTCTAATAAAAAATTATACATAAAAAATATATATATATTTTAGGATATTTTTACCATATTTGTGATTGCACCGTTAATTCAAGCATTACTTTTTACACCTGGATCTGACAGAAAAATTAAGTGTTTTAGGACAATATAGTGGATGTAGAATAATAACCAAGATGGGTTATTCTGACCTACAGTTTGGAACCTGGTGAATGTTTACCCTTTCTCATACCAGTGGCGGATCCAGGGGGGGTAAGGGGGGGGCAACGGAGCAATTGCCCCTCCACCCCCGAGATTCTCCCCTGCCGGCTAATGCAGGGCTGGCATTGTCCAAGTGCCAGCCCTGCAATGTGCCTGCAGACCGGGGAGATCAGAGATCATAGATCTCCCTCCCTGGTCTGCAGGCACATTGCTGACAGCCGGCAGGGGAGGGAGGGGGAGGGAGAGAGGACCCGGGAGCTCAGCCTGCAGCTCCTCCGGGTCCTCCTCTCGCGAGCATGGAGCGGCAACGCTCCAAATCTCGCAAGAGTGAACTCTAGCCCGCACTCCACTCTCACCACTGGGACCACCAATGAATCCCCTACCGGACCACCAGGGACCCAAATGTCCCCCCTCCTCCCAGTAAAGGTAAGGAGGGAGGGGGGACATAAAGTATATTTATTTTATTAAATAAAAAAATATATATTAAAAAGCCTCCCTACCCTCCTCCCCCCCCATACAAACACTGCCCCCCCATACACACACTGCACACACTGCCCCCATACACACACTACACACACTGCCCCTCCATACACACACTGCCCCTATACACACACTACAAACACTGTCCCCATACACACACTACACACACTGCCCCCATACACACACTACACACACTGCCCCCCCATACCCACACTACACTCACTGCCCCCATACACACACTACAAACACTGCCCCCCATACACACACTACCCCAACACACACCCCCAACACACACA